GTTTAACAGTAATCGGTGATTATCGGTAATCGGTCAGTCATTAATCAGTAAACAGTATGAGGGTTGTTACACTAAGCCTAAGGCATTTAAATAAATCTTATTCTTTTTTTTTTTATTTTTATACAATCTTTCTCACCAACTCTCAAATAAAACAACAATCCATAGAGTCATGGTGGAGTATAAGGAATTTATCTGTGGGTTCCAAGTTTATTTTAATTTCATAGATTCACGAGTGTGATTATAACCATAAAATAAATACATATAAAAACCCTAAACTTGCCATACACAACTAATCAAAATAATTAAAATCAATCTATTATCTACATACAAATAGAAAATCAAACCAACATTATAAATAAAAATAAAGAATCAATCCATCATTTTTATACACTCTTACACTCTTTCTCACCAACACTCAAATAAAACAACAATCCATGGAGTCATGGTGGAGTATAAGAAATTTATCTATGGATTCCAAGTTTATTTTAATTTCATAGATTCACGAGTGTGATTACAACCATAAAATAATACATATAAAAACCCTAAACCTGGCATACACAACTAATCAAAATAATTAAAATCAATCTATCATCTACATACAAATACAAAATCAAACCAACATTAAATATATAAAAATAAATAAATAAAAATAAAGAATTAATCCATCATCTAACCAATATTTATGGATTCTAAGTTTATTTCAATTTCATATAACCATGAGTGTGATTACAACCATAAAATAAATATACAAAAAAAATCCTAAACCTTGCATACACAACTAATCAAAATAATTGTAATCAATCCATCATCTTCATACAAATACAATATCAAACCAACATTAAATAAATAAATAAATAAATAAATAAAAATAAACATAAATCAAGAGAAGTGGATTTTGCATTCACAATATTTTTTTGAAGATCAAAGAATCACTTAGAGAATTAATAAAGTCACCCAAACAAAACCCTAATTTTTTTTCTCCTTTTCTCTTCTCTCTCCCGCCACTCTCTCTCTATCTTGTCTCTCTTTCTTGATCTCAATCAATCTCACTCTCTCTCTTTCTCACGGCTGTTGCTTTTCTCATTCTTTTCTTCTTCTTTTTTTGGCTAATTTCCTAATACTATTCTAACCTAATTGATATATTATATAATATTACTAGTGTATACCCGTGCTTGAAGGCATGGTGTAAATAATGTTAAGATTAGAATATAATTGTAATCCCAATACTAATAATGTTAGGATTAGAATATAATTGTAATCCCAATACTATTTAATAAATTATCAATTATCAATTTAATATAATTGTAATCCCAACCCTTCTTGTCTTAAAAATAAATTATCAATTATAGAGATGAAATTATGCCTTCAACCTGAAAATCCCTGTTTCTATACCAAGAAAATGGCATAGACAAACAACCATTGTTGAGCTTTGGTGACCCACCATGAAACAAACTCAAAAACATCTATCTAAGTTCACAGAATTGAGCGCACTGGACCCAAAATGAATTGGCATTTGCCTTCCTTTCCCATAATCAGCCTTGTTCCCAAAACATTGGTTGGCAAATTCTTGCAAGGTGAAACCACACCACAACAGAACACCATGTTCCCTATACTGCATTGCATTATACATGTCTGTTTACATCATTCTCTATTGTGGACTTCCTAATATATCCAACCAATTATTGAAAACCTATCCATCACATGGAGGGGTCTAAAAGAAAATATGAAAAGCTGAAATCAAAATAATTTCATGGTCTTCAAAACTGACACATTTCTGGGGTTTGGGCTGGAGTTTTATCTTCTATGGATATGAAGTTGGCTTCAAATCATTCTATTTATGAGAGTTGAAGATGAATGACTGAAGCATTGAAATTAAGATCAAGCCGCATAAGCTGACAAAGAACATAAATACATATGGTTAGAGATTTTGAAAACATAGGTAGTGGAGCAATGGAACTACGGTAGCAAGTCAGCAACCTGAAGGTGGTAAAATGAGGAAAGGAATTTGTGAGCAATATATACAATAGTGTTGTTGTTCATGGTATGTATGACTCTATATCATATGGCTCCTAACAAATTGAAATCTGTTGCTGATATTGCATAGTATGTTGTGACACTAATTAATTGGTTGAGAAGAAAGAAATAAGTAACCTATGAAAATTGATCTCTAATTCATCTAGTTTCTTACCTAAGGCAAGATAATATCATCTTGGGTGAGTGCAGCAGTTGATGCAATGTTGATAGCATCTTCTCCATATGAGTTGAGATAGAAGGACATTCTTCCTTGCCTTTGTGCTTCGTAGAAGATGTTGTCCATAGTTTGAAGGGTAACCATACTACTATACAACTTCAATGCATCATCCTTGCTCACCTAATGAATGTGATAGCTGAAAAATTAACAAAAGACAATGTGCTTGCATGCAATCTAAATAATCAAATTAACTAAAGTTGAATTGTATAATTCTAAAATTTTCAGCCCTTAAAGTTGTGTTTGGATCTTGAATTTGTAGAGGGATTTATGGAGGGAAAGGGCAGGGATTTGTGGGGGTAAAAAAAGAGAGCTTAAATCACTTTTTCCCTTCCCTTTCCTTTTCCCACCACAAATTTGAAATCCAAAAACAGCCTAAAGAGAAACTTATAAAATATTGCAAACTTGGATTATAGACTGGGTTTCATCAGGTTTTAAGTTATTTCAGGAAAGTAAAATGTATACAATGGCTAGAAAATCATGAAAAATACAACATATATTGTGCATAGTTCTAACAATATGGAGTTGGCAAAAAAACAACATATATTGTGCATGGTTCCACATATATTGTTCTAGATACAGAACACAGACCCATATTTTTATGTAAATATTTTATGTAAAATAACATATATTTCCACATATATTGTGTATCGCAAAAAAATAACAAAACACAGACCCAGAAGAATAATATTGGTAGTTGGATGATTCCCATTATCCAAAAGCAAGTTAAAAAATTATTGGGATGATTCCCATTTCTCCACAAAATCAAACTAAAAACAAAAATATGAGAGAAGATACCATCAACTGAATTTGTTGTGTGTAAATTCCATTGAAACAAACTTAATAAGTAAGGAATATAGAATGGTTATTGAACATTTTGGTAACAACCATTCAATAGAGTAACTCAAAAACCACTCTCCCTTATTATATGTGTGTATAAAAGTGCACCCAAAATTAAAGTGAACCCAAAATTAACAAAACCCATAAAAGTGCACCCAAAATTAAAGAAAAACAATACTCACAGAAAAAAAAACAAAGAAAAAAATTAGGAAAAGATAACACAAAGAAAAACCTGAACAACAATAGTATACTGTTGTTGCCATTTGGTTAATGTTGAAGAACCCTAACTATACCTTTTCTTCTTACCAAGCTCAACTGAAGTATGAGAATCCAAAGTAATAAAACTCTAACCAATATCCATGGCATGAATCAAAACAAATACTTGCATCTTGCAGCTGGCATTTGATTAACATAAGAAAATAAATAAATAAATAAATCTCCAAGAATTTTAATTTTTGTGCTTTTTGGAAAAATTGTAATAAAATGGAAAAAATTGAAACAATTGCAAGATTAAATAAATGCAATTTGAAGATTAATAATTGAAGATTAATAAAAATAATTGAAATGTAAATGCAATTTGAAGATTAATTTTAAAAACATAGTAAAATTACATTTTTATCGGCCATCCCTCACCCACCCTTCCCAGTTGCTGGCCACTCTTCCACCCTCCCCGACCCCCTCCCTCAACCCTTGTTTCCCAGACACCCCCCAACCTTCCGCCCCTCCCCACCCTAGCAACTGGGAAGGGGAAGGGGGGAGGAAGAAAGAGAACAGGGCAAAAGTTAGGGGAAAATTGTAAAATTTTTAAGATTAATTTTTAAGTTTCCACCTCTATTGCAATTATTTTTGATACTCAATATTTTTGCAATTATTCTACCTCATCCCATGTTTTTGTAGTTTAGCCTTTCTATTTTTCAGGGTTGGGGATAATTGTTTTGCAACTCTGTTTCACTACACTTAATGCCAAGTAAAAACTGCACTTGAGTCAGCCAGATGCTGGCGGCTCTCCAAATTCACTACAGCAATCAAAAGGAAACAGTAGATACATACAAAAGCAGCTGTTTCATCTTAAAATTTTGGAGGAGAAGTGCAAAAAAGTGAAAGAGGAGAAAGTGGGGGGAGGAGGGATGAACATACAAATTGCAATACACACAAAGAAAACATTACCCATTATATGTACACACAAAGAAAACATTACCCATAAAAGTGCAACCAACTGCACTTGATGATCTCTTGGCTTCAAACAAAAAAAAAATCTATAATCAATATATATACACACAAAGAAAACCTTACAAAAAATCGATTTCATGAGGAATGAACAAAAAGATTTGCTGGCACTTTGAGCAAATAGCTAATCACAAATACAGAGCACTTTGAGCCCTCCAAGTTCAACAAAAGAAAATGAGTTCACTAACTGAGAGTCTAAGCCTTCTACTTTGCTGGCAACAAATATAGGTTTTTTGAATTCATATGTATTTATGAAGTTTATCTTTCTATCATTATTTTCTCTCTTACCAAACAGAGAATCGCATAGCAAGAGCAGATATCTAGTAACCAAAAATCTTTCTTGATAAAATAAAAACAAACCAGAGAATAATAGAAAATATCCATAATCTAAATGATAGTTAAAACGCCAAAAATCATCAAATTTGGGCCAAAATGAATTATATATATATATATATATTTTAAAAAAATCTATATAAGAAGAGTATATACATCAATCAATACACATGTAAAACTGAATCAAACTAACCTTCAATTTATGAATTTCTTCTACAGGTATGCAAAAGAGACGAATAAAAAAACGAAGGAATTAGAGAAAAATTAACCTTGAATTGAACTTTTGGAATCGATTTAGTCAAACTTTGAATTGAGCTTCTGGAATTGATGCGAATCAAAGCCCTAGAAGGAAGAGAACTAACCTTAAATAAACACATTTTTAGGGTCGCTTTCATGTATCGATGTATCATTTCATATGAGAAGCAATAGATCAAAAGAATAGACAGGTAAAATACTAACAATCTAGTTTGTTGATTCCCATTCCAAATGCTACCTGTAGAAGAAGTATATGTTTCAAAATGATAGGCAGGATTTCTATAAAATTATTGACAGGAAAATGCCATCTGTACATACCGTACCAACAATGACTTGCAACTTGCTATTGCTCCACCTATTCCATAAAACATGTATAAGAGTCTCCAAAAAGCCAAATATGCCTTGATTACCATAATGACAAATAACTCAGCCTTCTACAATCATAACAGTTGCCAACTATGAATTATCAAAAAGTAGCAAACCAGCTTTGTAAATTCAAACAACTTTATGAAATGATTGATCACTATCAGTGGGAAAAGAACGGAGTGGTACAGCACCTAGCCTGGAATGTGGTTAAAATTTAGGTTTACATAGCCTACACGAAAAGTGATAAATAAGTCATAAATATTAAAAGCCATTAAGAAGTCAAAAATACTAATTTTCTTTTCATGACATTCTAAATTCATGTTGACACAACTTATGGTTTCAGTATATTGCATTGGGTTTTATTGTATTTTAATGGAAACAATAGAATTTTGGTATATATCAGATTTATATAATTCACAAACCAAAAGAGCATTTTTAGGAAGCACACTTCTAGAAATACACAGGCATAATAAACATTACAAAACAACAATGTGTCGTAGATAGGTTAATACATTCCATTTTACTTAGAACATGAAAAATAGATGATAGGTTTACTGTCAAGACTTTAACTTAACTAAGTGCTTATTCCTATTTTTTTTCCATTTAGGTATATAGTCCCTTCTTAGAAAAATCCAAGATTTGGTATTTCAAAGACTTGGTTTTGTAGAATTTCTCATATCACAATATCAAAATCAGTTTCTTGTCATCAATGTGAAGATAACACATTTCCAGTCACAATCAAATGGTGAAAGCATTTTACATGATGCTCTTGCCATGCATCATTTGTCATGTCTACTAATTCATTTCTCAACACCTTGAGCACATATTGCTGCACCAACATTATCTGCAGTTGTGGCTAAAGAAATTGGGATATTTGCCTTCTTATTGTTCATCTTAGTATAATTCTAAATTCTAAAATTATAGAGAAAAATTAGAAACTTAACAAAAAAAATTTAATTCTAATTTTTATAGATAGGGATCTAAAAGTTGACTCAAATAAATGAATTTCAATAAAACAAATATACAAAAACCTGCCCATTATTAAAATTAAAAAAAAAAACACACAATTGTTTTAAAAAAAGTTAATGACCAAAAATAGTATGTTTTTTTCATTTATTTCATTGAATTTCGCAAGTTTCAAACACTATAATGAAATATACAAATTGAACAAAACAAATATACTTAAAAAAAAATCAAAATCACACTCATAATCATCATTTTCATTGATCTTGTTAAAATTTCACAAAATATAAAAATTTCAATGAAACCTGAAAATTGAACCAAAATAATAATTTCTGAAAATCCACACATAATCATCTCAGATGATTATAAAAAACTGTTAAAAAAAGTCACAGCAGGGCATCCATAGGATAGACAGATTTATTATGAGTGTGATGAAGAAACTTTAAAAATATACTACTTAAGGTCTTTTGATTTTTCTTCTTAAATTTTACTTGCAAGTATATTTGAACACTCCTGCAGATTTTGATTTCAAACATATACTTTCTTCTTAAATTTTACTTGCAGGTATACTCAAACACTCCTACAGATTTTGATTTCAAACTTGAAAGGTACTTTCAAAATTGAGTACTATGTTCACTGAGAAATGTTTTTCAACTTAACATGGTTACAACCTGATGCTAAGCATGGAAAGAAGAAAACACATCTAAAATTTCACATGAAACAAACCTAGGATTTATTTAATCAAATTTAGGATAATTTTAGACTTGTTCACATGTATCCAACCCAATTATCAAAAATTCAATCCACCAAAACCGCCACCTCCTCTCTCTCTCTCTCACTACCACCATCCTCTCCATCCTCTGTTTTTTAAACAATACAAACAAATACATGAATTATGTATGTATATACATAAATTATATCTATATATATCATCTAGCTTTCCAAAAGAGCACTAAATTATATCGTCTCTCGTAACTTTCTACACAAAAAAATCAAAAAATTAACTTTTACTCATCTTCCCAAAACAATCCAAAAATACCCACTTAAATGTGTTTTATGTAGTGCTGGAAAGAACTAAACTATTCATTTATCAAAAGTAACACAACAATATTCATGATTTTTAGAATTATTCAATAATTTTTCAAGAAGGATATGGGTAAAATTGTATGAAGGCAGAAACAGAGACTAACAAATTTGTATAGTTAAAATCATATATAGAGATATAACTATATAATATGTATAACAGTTGTATCAAACATGTTAGCTAAGAATTTGGATCATACTCTGCAGTTTGAAGTGCTACACAACTTGAAATCAACTTTAAAATTTTAAATAATAATAAATAAATAAATAAAAAGAGAGTAGAGTCCTAGGAGAAGCAAGAAGAAGACCAAGATGTAGTAGTGGTGGTGTTTGGGTTGTGGAGGCGAAGAAAGTTTCTCTTCGTGGTGGAGTAGAAGAGGCCATATCAGAGCCTGAACCAGACTATCTTTTGGATCTTTCTGGCGGATCGGAACCTAGACCAGACGACCCTCTTGACCCGGAAGAAAGAACCCTTGATCCTCTTTGCAACACTCTTCTTCCTGCAGAACTGGTAGCTCCTCAAGAACAGTTGCCTCTTCTCCATCTCCATAGAATAAATGAGGAGCAGATAGATGAAAGGACTCCCGTATTTAGATATTGTAGAGGTGACCCCGTATTAAAGATTAGAGTAAAGATTAATAATATTTTAACTAAAAGACTAAAGATTAGAGTAAAGATTATGCAAAAATTAAAGATTAGAGTAAAGCTTATTCAAAGATTACCCAAAGATAGAAATATAAATACAAAGAAAAAGCCCAGGTTTGATCACCTGAACAGTATGTATACCGGATTATTTCTTTGTTGAACACCATTGTTCCCTTTTGCAGCCCCCTTGTTCCTCTTTTGCAACGGCTCCGTCGTCAATGGAGATTGGGGCTGCCATTGCTCATGAAGATTGAGAGAGAGAGGAAGGAAGAGAGAAGATGAAGAGAGAAAATGATGAGAGGGAATGGGCTCTGACAGGGAAGGTTGGGCTCTGATGGAGAAAAGAGAGAGAGAGAGGGGCTGCGTGTTTTCAAAATTTGAAATCAAAAAGAGATAAATGGGTGAGACAAATGGGAGTGAGAGGCTGTCTGTTGAAAATGAGAGACAAATGGGGGTCAGATATTTTGAGCCCTTAGATTAAATCAATCTAATGGCCCAAATTTTGACACAGGTATAAGAGTCAAATCAGGATTTAAAAACCGAGCTTCCTTATTATATAGATATTATACAAATACAATATATATATATATATATATATATAAATATACTATATATGATCAACACATATATATACATATATATAAAAAATATATATAAATATTCATATTAATTATATATAATTAAATATCACATTAAATTAATTAAATACCATGCAATTAATAAAGCCAAAAATAAAATAAGATAATAATAATAATAATAACAACAACAATAATAATAATAATAATAATAATAAATAAAGACTTACGAAAAATCAAGGTCGCTACAAACAATAGGAATAACTTTCAACCTAAAGGTAAATTTTTCAAGAACAACCTTAAGTTTAAATCTAGAGGTCAAAATGGCAAACACCGTAATAACAAGTACCAAGCCAATGCTAATAATTTTAAGGGACAAGGGAGTGGCAAAAAGTTGTGCTATGTAGATGGAAGAACCAATCATTATGCTAAGGATTGTTTTTTTAAGAAGGCTGATGAGTATAAACCAAGGTTCAACAATAAGCAAAGCAATCAAGGTCATGATGCTCAAGTGAATATGATTTTGGAGAAAGAAGAAATTGTCAGACAATTTTTTAGGTATAATCCTGAAATTAATTCTACTTTTGAATATCAAGATTGGTGGTTAGATTATGGGGCTAATATACATGTGTGTTTTGATTGTGGTTACCTTAAAACTTTCTAGAAATCAAGTGGAGGAAGTGTAACTTTGGGGAATGGATCAGTTGTATCGATACTTGGCATTGGAGATATAGATTTAAAGATGACTGTTGGAAATATCTTAACTTTGAAAGATGTGCGATATGTTCTTGAAGTTAGAAGAGATCTTATTAATGGATCGTGTTTAGTACAATAAGGGTACAAAATTGTAATGGAATCGAATAAAATTGTAATAAGTAAAAATGATATTTTTATTGGTAAAGGTTTTGTATGTGATGGTTTATTTAAATTGAATGTATCTTTTGAAGTTAATTATATCTCTCATAATATTTTGAATATTGAAGTTTGTGATTTGTAGCATGGAAGACTTGGACATGTGAATTTAAGGAGAATTAGGAAAATGATGGATTTAGAATTAGTACCTAAATCACCTATTGATGTCAAAAGCAAATGTGAAATATGTGTGTAAACAAAACAACCTAAGAAACCTTATAAATCTATAAAAAGAAATTCACAACTCTTAGACATTATACATAGTGACGTTTGTGATTCTAATAGACCATCAATTAGAGCAGGAAATAAATATTTTGTAACCTTTATAGATGATTGTTCTAAGTTTTGTTACTTATATTTAATTAAAACCAAAGGTGAAGTGTTTAGTAAATTTAAAATTTATAAAATTGAAGTAAAAAATAAATTAGAAAGAAAGATTAAGAAACTTAGATTTGATAGAGGAGGCGAATATAATGTAGATACCCTTAGTACTTTTTGTGTAGAACATGGAATTATTCATGAAGTAACCCCACCTTATTCTCCACAATCTAATGGGATAGCTGAAAGAAAAAACAGAACTCTAATGGATGTGATAAATGTAATGCTTATTAGTTCTGGTTTACTAGAGAGCTTGTGGGGGGAAGCGATACTCACTGCTCATGTTATATTAACTAGAGTAATTGTGAGTGATAATGATAAAATCACCTTATGAAATCTGCAAAAAAAAGCGAGTACCTAATCTTAAAATGTTGAAAGTGTGGGGGTGTTTAGTAAAAGTAGTAATTCCAGAACATAAACGTAAGAAAATAGGACCTAGAACTGTTGATACCATTTTCTTAGGATATGCTCAAAATAGCAGTGCTAATAGATTTCTAGTAATAAATTCTGAAATTAGTGAAATTACTAATAATACAATAGCAGTGCTAATAGATTTCTAGTAAAAAATGAAGCTACATTTTTTGAAGATATTTTTCCATATAAAACTATGATCTCAAATCAGGTTGTAAATAGAACTTCTACTACTAGTGCTAGTATTATTCTTTTGAGAGATGATTCTGAACATCTAGACATAGAACCTAGGAGTAAGAGAACTAGAATAGAGAAAACCTTTGGAGATGATTTTTATACTTTTTTAACTGAAGGAGAACCAAATACTTTTATAGAAGCTATGTCGTCTTTAGATGCACCATTTTGGAAGGAAGCCATTAATAGTGAGATTGAAACTACATTTCAAAATAATACTTGGGAGTTAACTAATCTACCTCCTGGTGTAGACACCCCATTTTTGACCGTCCTCAAGACTTGGACGTCACCGTTTAAACACCCGGTGATCATCCATGTTTGTGTTCGTTTGGAGTTCCCGGAAGTCTCGGCTACGCGCTTTGCCTCAGGATCTCCGAACTCGACTGTTTAGTGTCTGGTTTTGCACCAAACACTTGTGTTTTGCCTTGGAGGGGCAGGGAATGCCTCGTGAGGCATCCCCACACATCACCGGCCATGGCCAGAGGCCACCGGCTGGTGTTTTGTTGCCATCGGCAATGTATATTGCCGGTCGGCATTTTTTGTTACCGGTCGGCACTCCATTTTGTCAAAATGGCAATTTTGAGCAGCCGACTACTGTGCATCTGCTTTTTGTAGATCTTTTGTGCCAGCTGTGATAGCTGGCACCCACTCTGTTCCCCTCCATACACGTGTATGAAGGGATTTCCCTCTAAGCAAGCTTGTTTAGTAAGCTTTGCAAGAGGGACTTCTATAAGAAGAGGGCTCTCCTCCTTCTTCTTGGTTGGCAAGTTTGAGAGAAAAACCAGAGCTTATACATAGATATATCATCTCTCTCTATATTTCCCTCTCTCTCCTCCCTTAGTGTGTGTTTGGTAGCCCAAAAGTGCATTTTTACCTTGCTTTTGCACTAATACACACACCATTACACCTTGCTCCGAGATTGAGTCACTTTGAGGGTTGATTCTTGAGTTTTTGGACTGATTTTGATCAAAAGAAGAGGGCTGCATTGGCTGTTCTTTGGGTGTTCTTCAAGGGTAATCACTTTGCTTTAGTTTCCCCAAACTTGCACTAGTTTTTTACCTATCTTACTTGCTGATTTAGGTTTTGTGCATAACATAAAAAAAGCTTATATTTTCATGCTTAAGAACTTTCATTAAGGGTGTTTTGTGGTTTGAGTTCAAACTCACCCTCTTAGGCCTTATTTGGCCTTTTCGGTGCTTCCTTTGTGAGGCTTTGTTTGCTTGAGTGTCTTGGTCTTCTCACCACGGAAAACCAGTGGATTTTCAGTGGTGAGGAAGGTGGTTTGAAGTATTGTATAGGGGAGGGACACCCCTCTCCCTTCATTGCCTCATTTCCTTGCCTTTTGGCTTAAAGGGCAACATGCATGCTTGATTGATTTTGGCCCTATTTCAGAGTTTTTTGGGTGTCTCTAGGTCACATATTATCTCTGTTTTTGGTCGGATTTGTGCCCTTTTGCATGCTTAACATACTTGTTTTACATCCCTCTATTTGGCCTAGAAATGCATCTTGTGTTTAGGTCATGATTCTTGCATGTGTTAGCCTAATTTCATGAAGGTATTGGCATTACTTTACCATGTTTAAGGCCTGTTGGCCATCTGTTTCAGTCATGCTTGCCATGTTTGGTGTCATCTCTTTGTGTTTTGGCTTGTAAGCCTTGAGTATATTGGCCTCTAACATGCGTAGCTTAGACCACCCTCATGATTTGGCATCGTTTAGGATCGTATTTTAGTCCATAAATCATGTTTGTATGTGTGCATATGTGACCTCTTTCATGCTTTGAGGATGTGCCCTTTTATGCCTAGAAATGAGCTTGATGAGTTTTGGTGCATGCATCTCATTGGAGCCACTTAAGTTGCCATATCAGTGGGTTTTGGAGTCCATTTTTGCATGCTAGGATTCTGTTTTTGCTTTCTAATTCATGCCATGAATGGTCATACTGGTGGAAGTAAAGTGCCCCCTCTTTGTGCCCTAGCCTTAGGTCCATTGCTTGCGTGTTGGCATGAGTGTTTGTCCACCATTTTGGGCACTTTTGGCCACTGTTTTGGGGCAGATTGAGGTCTGCCCCTTTATGGTTTAAGTCCACCATTGCATGCTTGTCTCATGTTTGTTGCATGATTGCTTAATTAGGTGTTGTAACATGATGATCCTATTGCTTAAATCGTCCATGTTTGCATTGCATTTGCATCTTGCATGCCTAGCATTGCATATTTGCCATAGTGGTTGCATGGCATTTGGCATGCCTTGCATAATTAGTATCATGTTGCATTTTGAGCCATGTTTGCATAACATGGCATTGCATTGCTTGGCTTGGGGTGTCAAACCAAGTGTGAGGATGAGGGGTGTTTGTACTTCGAGTGACAAAACACACCTCAACCCTCGGTCCACGAGGCCCTTGACTTTGGCATGATAGGCTCTTGGTCCTCATTTG